ATGGATCCCCATTCATGGACGTAGTTAAAATAATTCCTGGCCTGTAGGATAAAACCCATATTAGCATCCCATAGCATACAAGACACACCAAGTGGTGACTGCTGCTCACCCTTGCGGAGCTGGTAATCCCCCTTGTATCTTATGAGCTACCCATGCCAAATGCCTTTGTTTTTGTATTATTCCCTGCTGTTTCAAATAGCTGTAAGCTGGGCATGATGGCTCATGTCTGTAATCCCAGCAACTCAGGGCTGCAGCGGGAGGATTGCTTGAGGCCAGGAGTTCAAGACCAGCCTGAGCAAGACCTCATCTCTAAAAAAATGGAGGAAAAAAAAATTAGTCTGGCATGGTGGCTTGCGCCTGTAGTCCCAGCTAATTTGGAATGCTGAAGCGAGAGGATTGCTCGACCTGGGAGTTCCAGGCTGCAGTGAGCTACAGTTGCGCCAGTGCACTCCATTCCAGCCTGGGTTTGAAAAAAAAAAGACAACAAAAAACAGCATTTGTGCCTTTTCCTAGTTGTCTTTATGTATGAAAGTCATCCCTGTCCTGTTCCCCAGCTGGTTCCATTGGCGAACACCTACTCATGTTCCAAGGTTGGCCCTCGTATTACTGGCTTGTATCAGAGAACTTCATTGTTCCTTTTCATTACTGATCGTGGGAATTAAAAAAAAAAAGAACTTTATTCTTATTTATGTATGTATTTTTGTCTCTTTTTATCTCTTTATATAGCCACTCTTGTGTTTTATAAATTCTTCATGTATTTTTTTCATTGTTTATCATTCTAGGACATTTCTGTTAGTTTGCTTATCACAGGTCTTAAATTTTGCCAACATTGCCTTTCTCTTTTTCTCATCTGTTATTTTGTTGCATATATTTTTGTTTTCCTCTACTTTTTTGAAAACTCCTGAGGACAGGTGATTTATCCTGTTGGTCTTTGTGCCTAATGCCTATAGAGCACCTTGTATCTTAAGAAATGTATATCAAAGGAACACAAAAAATCATAAGAGGGCATTGTCTTCTGTTTCAATTTTAGAACATAATTATACTTCTGGATGTAATTATACTACTAGGTCTATATGTAGACTTTGCAGAATTAGAAAATTTTTCTAAACTACAAATTCTAATAATCTTTACATAAAAGTAGTATGTTATAATAGACAGGGAACTGCCTTAGAAATTTTAAGAAAATGAGGTTCTAGTTCCAATAAGGTCTTGATTGCAAACAACCCAAACTGATTCCAGCTTACTTAAGCTGAAAAAAGACTTCTGGAGAGAATGTTGAGTAGCCCAAAGAATGGATAGGAAAGCTGGAAAGCTAGGCTCAGGGGAGACAGGCAGGAAACGAAGAGTAGGCCACAGGAGTAGAATACAGTTAAGTGTTGCTTAACGATGGGGATACATCTGAGAAGTCTGTCCTGAGATGATCTCGTCCTCTTGAATATCCATAGAGTTTGCTTACACAAATCCTAAGCTATAGGGTATATAGCCTATTGCTCCTGGGCTACAAACCTGTATAGAATGTTACTGTACTGAATTCTGTAGGCAGTTGGAACACAATGGAAAATGTGTATCCAAACATATCTAAACACAGAAAAAGTACAGTAGAAATACAGTATAAAAGATAAAAAATGGTATACTTGTATAGGGCACATACCGTGAATGGAGCTTGCAGAACTGGAAGTTGCACTGGGTGAGTTAGGCAGTGAGTGGCAAGTGAATGTGAAGACTTGTGACATTACTATACACTACTATGGACTGTGTAGAGACAGTATGCTTAGGCTACATTAAATTTATAAAACGTATTATCATCAATAATAAATATAGGCTAGGCACAGTGGCTCACGTCTGTAATCTTACCATTTTGGGAGGCCAAGGTGGGAGGATCACTTGAGGCCAGGAGTTCAAGACCAGCATGAGAAAGAGTAACACCCCATCTCTACAACATATAGATTAGC